TGCAGCCCCTGTGGCAGTGGGTTGCCATGGGCTACCGTATGTAGCCAGCAGCCAGCGTGAGCGGCCAGCAGCCGCAGTGAGCGGCTGTCCAGAAGCTGGCTACTGATCTGCCTCGCCCGGGAAGAGCGCAATGATGGTGCCAAATTGGGCCAGTCCTCCACAACTAGACTGAAGAACAAAACAACAGCAACTTGTCTATTCCCCTTCCCCCAATTCCCCACCGCTGTTCCCATCCCCCCCAATTCCCCAATAAAAATCTTAAAAAAACAAACAAACCTGTGTATGGACTTTTAGGGAAGAGAAGACATACGAGGTCTGACAATTAGGTTCGCAAACTTGTTGCAACGATGTAGCTAACCTTTTTTGATATCAGAGGGATTATTTATTATGATTTTGTACCAATATAGTTAACCAAGTTTACTATTTAGAAGTGCTGAAAAGGCTGCGTGAAAAAGTTAGATGACCTGAACTTTCGCTAACAATTCATGGCTCTTGCATCACGACAATGCACCAGCTCACAAGGCACTGTCTTAGAGGGAGTTTTTAGCCAGTAAATAAATAACTGTATTGCAACACCCTCCCTACTCACCTGATCTGACCCCTAATGACTTCTTTCTTTATCCAAAGATAAAGGAAATATTGAAAGGAAGACATTTTGATGACATTGAGGATATCAAGGGTAATATGACAGCTCAGATGACCAATCCAGAAAGAGTTCCAAAATTGCTTTGAAGGGTGGACTAGCCACTGGCATCAGTGCATAGCTTCCCAAGGGGAGTACTTTGAAGGTGACCATAGTGATATTCAGCAATAATGTATGTAGCACGTTTTCTAGGATGGGTTCGCGAACTTAATTGTCAGGCCTCGTAGACACATAGACACAAAGAGAATGAAACTGCGGTACAAGAGCATAAAAAGAGAAACCACACAAGACAGCAGTGATTATTAGCAATGATTAATGTAGGCAATAAGTGCCGCAGAAGTTCATAAAACGGAGAGATTACATTTGCATACATTTTTGCTGACCTCAGGACTGTCATAAAACGTTAGTACGAGCTGTGGGAAGGCAATGAATTTTGAGAGAACACCTGGCCTCTAAGTAGCTCACTTTCTTTCCTGGAGACTGAGGCAGATAGTGAGAGGGTGGAGAGATGAGGGGACAACCAGAGATCTGATCATCACAGCAGGCAAGACAGTGCTGGGAAATCCTACCTAATGACCGAGTCTGGATATTTTGAATATTGATCCGTAATTTTTTTTTCTCTCTGTATTTTTCCCTCTTTCTACCTTTAAACAGGAGCAGCCTGTAGTTCTTTCTAGGCTTTGCTTTTGAAGTTTTTGAGCCCTCTGGAGAACTCAGAGCAGTAGTTCTCAACCTTGGCTCCTCATGAAATCACTCTGGTAGTTTTAAGAAAATACTACCATCTGGGTCCCACCCCAAAATACTCTAATTTAATTGACCTCTAGGATGCTCCTTTGATGATTCCAATGTGCAACCAAGTTTGAGTATCATTGATTTAAAGGGTTCCTAAACACAGCAAGAGAGAACGAGATTTGCTGGAATGAATGAACTATCTTGGAGAAGCCAGGGAAGAGGGGAGCCTCTCTGACCCAATTTAGAAAAATTGCCTTGACTTGTTACCCCGGAGTAGAAGGACTCCGGGCTCTGGCTCCTGGGCAGCCCCTCGGGGGGAGAGAGGAGGACTCCAGAGAGAATGACAGTGTGGTGTATCTAGGTCAGTGCTTCTCACACTGGGATGTGCACATGAATCGCCAGGGGATCTTGTTAAAATGTAGATTCTGACTCAGGTCTGGGATGAGGCCTGAGGATCTGCATTTCCAAACAGTTCCTAGGTGATCCCAAAGCTGCTGGTCCACAAGTGGCAGAGATATGCATGGCTAGGACTCTGGGCTATCTCCCTGACAATTCCCATATCCATCTCCAATCACGACCTGTTAAACCTTCAGGGTTCCACAGGCAGGGACAATGGACATCCCTGTGGTGAGCTGGTTGGATTGATGACTGAGGAGCAATGCCTTCCAGGCTGAAAAAGAGCCCATCCTGGCAGGGGATCCCCATGTCATAGTCCCAGCAGATCAAAGATGGCCCACTCAAAATGGGTCACTGTAGATAGCTTCATGTAGGGACTGTTTACAAGGTTGAGGCAGAGTTAACAGAAACCAACCAAAGTTTGTGAGGCACCACCCCTTGGGCAGAAGGGTCCAAAGGGGAGGAAGTGGAGGCTGGAATCCCATGAGAGCTGTGGGAAAGGGACACCTGCAGCAACTGTTACCTTTAGCCACGTGGGAGAAAATGGGCCACCAGGGATAAATCCAGGGGAGCGAATACTCCAATACTGCTTTTCTGCCACTCTGTGAATTCCTACTCATGCCTCCCATTGGCCCAATCCAATTAGAAACCAGACGGCAAGAGAACCCAGCTGCTGCAGCCCCTCAAAGTCAGCCTCCTGGGCACAGAGCAGGGAGAAGGATGGGGAGCAGATCAGGTGGGGGACACATGCAGAAAACCTGGCACAGCCCCAAGAATGATGTCAAATGTTCTGCCAGCTGGCTTAGTTTGTTCAGGCTGCCATAACATAATACTGTAGATTGTGTGGCTTAAACAGAAGACATTTATTTCTCACAGTTCTGGAGGCTGGGAAGTCCAGAATCAAGGACATCACCAGTTTTGGTCTCTGGTGAGAGCCTACCTCCTTGTTCATAGACAGTAGTGTTCTCACTGTGTCCTTACATGGCAGAAGGAATGAGGGAGCTCTCTGGGGCTTCTTTCATAAGGGTACTAATCCCATTCGTGGAGGGCTCCACCCTGATGACTTAATCACCCCCAAAGGCCCTACCTTCCAATACCATCACATTGGGGGGTAGGATTCAACATATGAATTTTTGGAAGACACAAACATTCAGTCTATAGTACCAGTCTGATGAGGGCTCAGCCTCAGTCAGAAATTAGTTGGCATGGAAAATAAAGAAAATGGCGGCACAATCTACACCTGAGACTCTTACTCTTTACAGATGGGAGCTTACCTGAGAGTGTCAAACATCCTCATGAATGGCAGATGGATTTCAACCGCTCCAATGGAGCTTTTGGAACAATGGTTGTGACCCTGTTGGAGAACTGGTGTGTAGAGAAGAGGTGGACTTTCAGAAGTTGCTGCTGATTTCCAGCATTTGTTGAGAATAAGCCACATGTGCTTTAAAACCTGCCAACAGGTGAACAATAGAAGGAAGAGAAAAAGAATTCAGCCTTGTTATAGTTTGCATATGACAGGTTTCTCTGAGTTTCTCAGAAACAATATTTAGAAAGGCAGGAGTGTGAAAAGTTATCTGTAGGGCCCCAACTCACACCCTAAATTTCTTTAAAACAAAACTAAACCAAGCCTCTGACCATCTTTCTGGGGAAAGAAGGGCACAAGCCTGAGGAACTCTGACCCAGGGGAAAGTGCTATCTGACCTCTTTAGAACCAATCTTGGCCAGCTTGAAAGTTAGCACCAGTTGGGTTCTCAGCTTAACCCAAACACCTGTGAGTTTTCCCAGTGTCTGAAGTCGGTAAAGGGGGGAGGGAGAGGAGATGGCTGCAAACTTCTGAGGTGAAGGGAATCAGGTGCTGCATGGGAGAGTTTCGCAGCACCTTCCCAGATCTGACCAGAAAGAACAGCTGGAGAGTTCTTAGGCAGTAAATAGAACTCCAACTGACACTTCATGGTTTTTTAGGAAGCCAGGTAGGAGATCCTGCAGGATCCCTGAGAATGGGCTGCCAAGGCAAAGGGACTCTGGGTCCCTGCATCTGCATGCCCGTCCCTTCATCTGCCATCAGTGCAAGGGCCTGTGGACATTTTAGAGAAACTGAGCTCTGGAGGGGGAGGCAGAGTTATAAATAGAGTTCAGGGCTTCTTAACCTTGAGAGTTTTATTTCTCATGGTACCCCAGTGTCTCAGAAGTTGGAGGGTTTGGGCACTGTACTGGACATGGTTAAGGAACCGAGGCAATAACCAGGATTGATCATTAGAAGTTGTTCTGAGACCTACTCTACATCAAGCTCCAAAATAAATTCCAGGTTAATTAAAAAGTTAAAGATTAAATATCACAGCAAAAGAATCAGAAGAAAGCATAGGCAAATATTTAGCTGATCCTAAGGTGACCAAGGCCTGTCTAAACACAACAAAAAGGACAAAACAGTAGGTTTGAAATACACAGGTATACCTTGGAGATATTGCAAGTTAGGTTCCAGATCACTGTAATAAAGTGAGTATAGCAACAAAGTGAGTTGTAATCTTTGGCGGGTGGAGGGTCTTGTCTTCCATTTGTTAAAAACCCAATGCCTGTGGAGCACAATAACATGGAATGCAAATAAACAAGATATTCCTGCATTATAAGTATGTCTATATATAATTAAAATTTATTGTATGGTTTTTAAATCACCAAAAAATAAAATTAATAGGAAACAACAAGTTGGGAAAATATTTGGTTAATATCATTAATATTATTAAAGAAGAACACATAAGGAAGAAATAGATGATTATCCCAATAGAAAAGTGCTAATGGCCAATAAACATATGGAACATATTATTACAACAGTGAAATATGACAAAATACCATATAGTTTTTCTGGATTGGCTCAGATAGGGGGAAACATAATATCCAATATTGTCAAGGGTGCAAAGAAAGGGGCATTCTCAAACATTTTCTTCTGGAATGTAAATTGGTTGGACTTCTCTGGAGGGTAATTTGGCAGTTAAATTATAAATCTTAAAATGTGCAGAACTTTTCATTCAGTAATTCCTCCTCTAGAAATTTATCCTAATGAAATGATCAAGGATGTGCACAAAGACTTATCTACAAGGATGTTTACTACAGTGTTATTTTAATAGTGAAAAACTGGGGGGAGAGAGTATCGAATGCTAAGAATTGACAGAGTTGGGCGGTGGGTACACAGGTCTTCAGTATTGGATTCGTTTTCTATTGTTGCTATAACAGATTACCATAAAGTTAGTGGCTTAAAACAATACAAATTTGTTTTCCTACAGTTCTGTAGTTCAGTCTGACCCAGGTCTCACCAGGTTAAAATTGAGGTGCTGGCAGGAATGTGTTTCTTCTGGAGGTTCGAGGGGAAGAGTCCATTTCCTTGCCTTTTGCATCTTCTAGAAGCCACCACATCTCATGAGTCATGGTTCCCTTCTTCCATCTTCAGAGGCAGCAACATAGCATGTCAGACCCTTCTTCATCACATCTCTTTCTGTGATCCTCTTTTTCTGTCTTCCTCTTCCACTTTTAAGGACCCTCGTGATTACATTGGTTCTACCCAGATAATTAAGGATAATTTTTCTGGTTTAAAGTAAGCTAATTAGTAACCTTAATTCAACTTGCCATGTAACTACAGGTCTTGGGGGTTGGGACACTGAAGTCTTTGGGGGACCATTATTCTGCCTACTCAGTTGTATTATTCTACATCCATACTTATCCATCTGAAAATATTTAATATTTATTACTATTTAAAATATTAAAAAACCCAAACCTAATTCCAATTTAGTGTATGGATGAAAGGAGGATATATATTCATATGATGAATACTATGCGCCCATTAAAAGTCCTAGTTGGGAAAATATGCAATAACATGGAACAATGTTCATTATACAGTAGGTAGGGGAGAAAATCAAGTCTAAAAAGGAATATGCACAAGATGATACCAATTATGGTAAGCTAAACCCAAAACAAACCAATACGCAAGTGAATAAAAAATGTTTGGAAGGATATAGGTCAAAATGGTAACAATCTTTATCTCTGGGTGGTGATTTTAATTTTCTTCTATTTTTCTTCATTTTCCGAAATGTGTATTATACACATATTACTTCTGCAAACAAAGATAAACAAAAGGTAACCGAGAACGTCTATCTACCATAATCTTCTGGTCAAGCATCACCTTGGTTTCTTAGGTTTCAATCACACTCTCTCACATCCATCCCTCGAGCTGATCCTCCTCATCAAAAAAAATTTTCATATCTGGCTATCGGTGACACGCCATTTATTCAGGCCCGAGTTGTCCGCTCTGGAAAGTTCGCGACTCCTCCTCAGAGTTCAGGAAGGATCCTCCCAGCGAACTAAGCATGACAGCGAATCCGTCCTTCTTAAAAACCTTTCCAGGGCAAAGCAAACCCAAGGGACAGCCGCATCCCACAAGGAACTTAGTAACCGGTACCTTGGAAACCGGACGCAGAAGTAAGTATACGAGCCTGTTTCATAATATCGCTGATACGTGTTAACAGTTTTAATTAATACTAGTTTTTAATACACAAAAGAACGCAGTGGCATCGGCCCGTGTGCACTCCCGCAGAACGAACCGAGCGCGGACGGGCTTGGCGGCGGGACCTTGTTCGCCCGCCCGGTTCCACGGTGCCGCCGGCGCGCCATCTCCGCGGCCTAAGCCTGAGGCGACTTCCTAGCCAGGCACACACCGCCTGAGCCTAGCCCCGGGCACCGCTGGTCCAGCGCGGAGCCCTGCGGCCCGCGGCCAGAGCCTGGGAGCCCGTTGGCTTCGCGGGATCCGAAACTCGGAGCCGTCCCCCCACCCACCACCGAGAGGAGCGCCTAGAGTGGAGGGCCAGCCTGCCCCGCCCCTCCGGTCCTCCCAGCCTCCTCTATCCCGGAAGTTGATGCCCCGCGCCCGATCGCGTGCTTCTAGTCTGGGGTGTCGCTTCAGAGATCTGTTCGGGCTGGGCGTGCAAAAACATCAACATGCCTGTGAGTTGTTTACTTTCGGGCTTCGCGTTTGTTTCGGGCTGCTCTGCCTGTCGAGGGGCCCGGGGCGGGGCACCCCGATGGCTCCGCGGGCCCTTGTGGCTCCCTGCAAAACGCAGCGACGCGGCTGGGATCGCCCAGCTCCTTTGCGCGTGGCGGACTTGTTGGGACTTGCCCGGGCCGCGCAGCTGGTCGGGCCCAGCACGGGCGTGGAGTGGGGGAGGATCTGCGGCCGCCTGGGCTGCGACCTGGAGTCGGTGGCTAGGAGGGGACATCTCCCCGGGTAACTAACTCAGTCCTCTGGATTTTTGGTGTGCCGCCTGCTAGGCTGTAATCTTTGGAGTCTTCATGCTCTCCTTGAGTTTCGTGGTTCTCGCCCCCTCTGCTTTCTCTCGGAAGCGATCACCTGCTTGTTTTCTTTTTAAAAACTATCTTCGCAGTTGCCTTACATAGTAACTCCGTGAAGGACGGTCACACCGGCCACTCACCACATCAACAGATCAGGTGTTGAACCCAGGGAGGCAGAAATCACCGCGGGGTTGGCATACTCCTTCCTGTTTATCTTCGCGATTTCTATTCTTGGCGGGTCCAGGGGTCGGGGTTAGTTTTTACTTAGCACCACAGTTTTGTTTTTATTGGAGACCGTTACTCGGCTGAGTAAAAAAGAACGGGGTTAACCTGACCATATGTTTCGTGATCTTCAGAGTCCCGTTATCATCGGGGCTGAGAGAACGCAAGCATTATAAAAAGTATTGATGAAAGTTAAGCTTTAAAAAAATGACATCTGAAGTGTTGCCTCTGCTGAGTATGTATTTCACGCATGGTTAAATCTGCCAGCATTGTGGTTTCATTCTAGTA